TTCTTAAGGTTGAGAAGCCATTTATTTTTCCAACAACACTGCCACAAATCAAAATACCTGAATGCTTTCTCTTCTGGAGTCATTTTGAAAGACATTCATGGGACATCCAAAATTTGAGAAAAGAAACTCATTTGAGATTGTATTTATTCTGGGTTGTTCCAATGAGAAAACTAAAAATATATGGGCTGATTTTTCAGGAGCTCAGTTTCAACACAATAGGCAAAGGTTTTCCTAAAGATCTGAGCCATCCAACAATGGAATTAATTTTTGGAAATATACCATCTTCACTGGTGACATTCATTCAAGCAACGGAGGCTGATCACTTAGACATGTGATAAAGAGAGAGGACTAATGTATCTCAAAGTCCCTTAAAATTTGTGATTCCAAGAATCACGAGTAGTTATTTTACAGTTGCACTAAATATGTATTACAATCTGCATGCCTCAAGTCCGTATTTCTCCAGGTTTGTGCTCAAATATATCACCTTATTACAGAGATCCGCTTACCTGAACTATTATTCCCACAATCTTTTTTCCTCCCATCTTCCACTGATTTAACTTTTTAAACTTTTATTTGTTATGTTCTATATTTATTTATTATCTATCTCCTACAACAAGACTATAAGCTTTATAAAAGAGGAAACTTTTTCAGTTGGGTTCTCTGTTCTAATCCCAGCAACTAAGGTAGAGTCTGCCCTGTAGTGAGAGTTTAGTAAGTTGTCAAAAGAATATATATAAAAATGTTACAGAAAAAGTATGTAAGAAAGAGAGAAAACCGTTCCATTATTTTCATTATTTTTTGTACATAATTATATACCCAAATCTGTGCATAGTGGTCAGCCTAGTATATGTGCCTAATATATAATATAATTGCTGAAAGAATGAACTTGTGCTATCATTTATATGTATTTTCCTTTTTACCCCCAGAGTTTGTACATAGTTATAATTGTTATTCATGTTTTTTAACCTAACATTTTATTATTCAACTGCTAATTCATCTTATTCACTAGATTTGACTATGATAACTTGATGTCATTGCCCAAAATCAAACCTATTTTCAAATAAAAAAGATGTATCTCCACTGAGGCCAGATCAGAGCATATGCTGTAGTCTGATAAAAACAAACAAACAAGCAAACAAAAAAAAAACAGGAAAACAGAGGGACCAGCAGTTAGCGTAATGGCTATGTCGCTGGACTCCCACGTAGTCAACCGCAGTTCACGTCCCAAAACCGGTGGCTTAAACTCACGCCAGGCGTGTGTGCATGCGTGCCCAAGATCCCAAGAGGAGAATGGAGGAGAAGGGAGTGTGGCATGGCCATCCCCCCTTGGGGGGGTGATTTCTCGCTTTCTGTCTCTATGTTTCTGTCTGTCTGGTGAGCGCATGCCCCCTATAGCAAAACACCTCTCAAAAAAAAAAAAAAACAGAAAAACAAAAAAGGCCAATGAACTCATCATTTCTTTCATCATCATCATGTCTTTATTAGCATCACTAGGAAACATCAGAGTTATTTATGGAAGCAAAACACCATAATGAGTTAAGATCAAAATAGCTAAAATATTCTTGCAAAAGAGCAAAGTTACCGGGCTTATATGTCTTATTTCCAATGTGTACTACAAAGCTACAGTATAAAGACCATGTGATACTGGCATACCATAGTCGCAAGGATCAACTGAACAGAATTGACTGTCTAAAAAAAAACCTCTTATATTGATGATCAACTAATTTGCCACAAGGGTGCCAGAGGAATTTGCTAGGGGAGAATATGGTCGTTTTGATAAATGCTGCTAAGACAATTGGATATCTGCATGTGAAAAGATGAGTTCAGGACTCTTACCTTATACACACACACACAAATTTAAGTCAAAATGGTTAATAAGCCTAAATACAAAAATATAAAACTATTAAGCTCTTAAGAAGAATATATGGGAGTAAATTTCTGTGGCCTTCGGTTAAAGATTTCTTAACTTTAACACTAAAATATAAACAATATAAGAAAAAATGGGACTGGGTCAAAATTAAAAACGTTTGCTCTGGGACCAGCAGTTAATGTAATGGCTATGTCGCTGGACTCCCATGTAGTCAGCTGTGGTTCTAGTACCGGATCTGGCGGCTTAAACTCACACTGGGCACATGTGCATGCGTGCCCAAGATCCCAAGAGGAGAATGGAGGAGAAGGGATTGCGATGTGGCCATCCCTCTTAGGGAGTGATTTCTCGCTTTCTGTCTCTCTGTCTCTGTCTTTCTGGCGAGCGCACATGCCCTATAGGAAAAAACCTCTCCAAAAAAAACCGAAAAAAAAATGTTTGCTCTTCAAATACTTATAACAATAATAACTATTTACAGACTCTTCAAAAGACTCTAAAAGACAAGCCACAGAATGGAAGAAAATACGAACAAATCATATATCTGATAAAGTCCTGGTATCCACAATATATAAAGAATATGTACAACTCAATATTATTAAGACAATTAATCCAATTCAAAACTGGGTAAATATTTTACCAAAAATATATAAAATGGCCAATAAATACATGAAATGAGCATCAACATCATTAATTATTAAGGAAATGAACATTAAAGCAACCACTTAACATCCACTAAGATGCAAATAAGACAAATAATAACAGATGGGAATGTGGGGGAACTGGAGCTTTCATCCATTGCTGGTAGGAATATAAAGTGGTATAGACACTTAAAAAATAAATTTATTGGGACCAGCAGATGGTGTAATGGTTATGTCACTGGATTCCTGCATGGCCGACCATGGTTCAAGTCCTGGACACGGAGTCTTGAAACTCATGCTGGGTGTGTGCACATGCGTGCCTAAAATCCCAAGAGGAGAATGGAGGAGAAGGGATTGCAGTGTGGACATTCCCCCTGGGGGGTGATTTCTCACTTTCTCTCTCTTTCTCTGTCTCTCTATCTCTCTCTGTCTCTCCAGTGAGCACACAACACCCTATAACAAAAATCTCTCAAAGAAAAGTATCACATAACTGAATAATTCCACTTGTATTTCTACCTAATAGAAATAAAAACATATGACCACTCAAGGACTTGCATAGCATTATTCATAGCATTATTAGTAATAACGTGAACCTAGAAGCAACCCAAATATTCACTAACTGCTGAAGGTATAAACTAAATGTCACATATCCTATATTTATTGATAAATGTATATTTCTATACCTATATATTTTAATGGAATTTCATATGTGTGTATGCTAAGGTGGTATTTTTTTTTCTTTTTTCTTAGTATGCTAAGGTGGTATTTTTTTTTCTTTTTTATTTTTTTCGTTTTGCTATAGGGCATGTGTGCTCACCAGAAGAGAGAGAGACAGAGAGACAGAAAGAGAGAAATCACCCCCCCATGGGCGCATGATTTCCTCCATTCTTCCCTTGGGATCTTGGACATGCATGCACACAAGCCCAGCATGAGTTTAAGCCACCAGGTCCAGGACTTGAACCGCGGTTGACTACATAGGGGTCCAGCGACGTAGCCATTATGCCAGCTGCTGGTCCCAGCTAAGGTGGTATTTTTATGAAGACCTGTAGACCATGTGTATGTTTTATCATATATATAAGAATACCTGCATCTATATAATTTCAAATTAGCATTTGTTCAGGTTTTTTTTGTTTGTTTGTTTTTGTTTTTGTTTTTGGAGAGGTTTTCACTATAGGGTGCGTGCGCTCGCCAGACAGACAGAGAGAGACATAGAGACAGAAAGCTAGAAATCACTCCCCAGGGGGGATGGTCACGCCGCAATCCCTTCTCCTCTATTCTCCTCTCGGGATCTTGGGCACGCATGCACACGCGCCCGGCGTGAGTTTTGAGCCACCGGGTCCGGGACACGAACCGCGGTCGACTACGTGGGAGTCCAGCGACATAGCCATTACACTAACTGCTGGTTCCCAGCATTTGTTCAGTTTTCAGCCCTAATACAAATCTGGATTCAGACTCTAGCTCTATCACTTCTTACTTTCAAACTCATAGGACAATTATTTAATTTTTCTGAATCTATACTCATAAAATATGGTAATATATACCTTACAGGGATGTAAAATTAACTGAGATAAGAGCTACGTAAAATGATTAGCATTAGGCTGGCATAGTGCCAGTCTTTAATATTTCACACTCACTATTATTTGTCTTTTTAGAATTTTATTTGCAAATCTAACTTTTCATTTCTTTCTTTTTTTCTTTTTTTAATTACACAGGGTGTCACATGTTGCAAATCTCTGTTTCCACCTCCCAAGTAGCTGAAATTACAAGAATATACCACCAGACTGAACTTTTTTTGGGTGGGCCAGGGATCAAACCCCAGCCCTCCTAGGTAGCCTCAGCTTATCAAACAACAGTATCCACCACACTACCCACAGCTGGGCCCAAACGTAGTTTTTTCCTAACACTCATGATGAGAAGGAAGCCATTTTGGGCAGTGGAGAAAGCTACTTCTTCCTTTCCAGCTGTCTGACTTCAAATTTCTCACTTAATCTCTCCGTGCCTCGGTTGCCAAAATCTGTTAAAGAAGGATCATGTTATTCATCTCACAGGATTTATGATTAGGAAAATTATATTGAAGTCCTTTGTAAACAGCTAAGTACAGTACGTTAATGAACTACTATATTATTATAGCCTTTTGTCTCATCAGTGCCACCTACGATGTGTTTAGAGAACCCAAAACTCTGCCTATGGAGTATTGTGGAGTCATTTCCCAACCCTGGAGATTATAATTAAAGAATCTTTTCATGGCCATTATGGTGGGGGTAAGTAATTTTCAAAGTAAGTTTTGTTTCCTTGCTGTTTGAACACAACACAAGAAAAGCCGTGTTACTCCCTATCTGAAACACTCTCTGCTTGTCCTCATGAGCTATCAGGCTCAGCTAAATATGGCCCTGGCCAGTATGTTAATAATCCCCACTGGTTCAGAGACCTCCATCCACCACCGATGTGACATTCTTTGTGTTCAAATGTCTAGCTGACGTCGGATGCTTAAAACAGCCCATGCCTTCACCCCTCTCTGCATTGTCACAGCCGGTATCACCACTCTTAAAAGGCTATCGCAGCCACTCCAGCACCAGTTGCTGACCGGCCTACCCACTTGCCTCCTTGCCTGCTTCTGGCTGCCTTGAATGTCTCATTCTTCAAGCGCCTTGTGGGTCTGACAAAGCAGGGACCATGTCTACCTTTGGCTATAGAAGAGGACTTAGTAAATATGAATCCATCGACGAGGATGAACTCCTCGCCTCCCTGTCGGCTGAAGAGCTGAAGGAGCTTGAGAGGGAGTTGGAAGACATTGAACCAGACCGCAACCTTCCCGTGGGGCTAAGGCAAAAGAGTCTGACAGAGAAAACCCCCACAGGAACATTCAGCAGAGAGGCACTGATGGCCTATTGGGAAAAGGAGTCTCAAAAACTCTTGGAGAAGGAGAGGCTGGGGGAGTGTGGAAAGGTAGGCTCTCAGGACTTTTCCTTGGCTACTCCCACCACCCCACTCCCTACCCCAAACCCAAACACCCCAGTTTTCTCTAACTTCTCAGTCCTTATCCCTTTAATCTTATAATCCATTTGTACCTGCAACAGAAAAATTTCTCAGGCTGAAATAGTCACGTCAATGGCCCGCCAACGATCATAATACATGAAATTCATAGCTGAGATTTTTTTGATTGACTAAAAATGAGAACCTTGAAAAGAAAATAATTTACATCCAAGGTATTGGCTTAAACAACATTTTCACAGACGTAAGTCTAATTTGAGCTAGAAGATTCAATGATATGCCACAGTACTTGTTTCTGATATATATATATGTATGTGTGTATATAGATATATATATTTTTTCCAGTTAAGTGCATCTATTTTCTTCTGTAAAGACAAAAGTAGAACTCTGGTTGTGTCGACTGTGATAATGACTACATAAAAAAAAAAGAAAAGAAAAGAAAAAAGAAAAAAAAAAAAACACAGTTAAAAAACAGTTATTCTCTTCCAACACCATAAAGTGTACTGGAAGTACCTGATATTGTTAGATCTTGAGTAGATACTCACTTTAAAGATTCCTTTTCCATTTGCCCATTGGAGAAATTAGGGATAGTGTTTCTTTTGTGAGTCACAAAAATCTTTGAGATTTTGATAAATTCTGACCCTTCTCAAAAAAACAAAAAAATGCACACATCCTTGTGCCTTCTCAAAAAAACAAAAAAATGCACACATCATTGAACACACACACACACACAAAGTTTGGTAGAGCATTTTAAAAAGATGACCTACATTCTGAAACCCATCTGCAGACCCAGGTTAAGGATACCAGGGTGGATTACGTCTAAGATTCCTTCCTGCTTTATGATGTTGATTCTGAGACCAGGAAATGTGCTTGTATCAGAGCTTCACGATCAGAGGTCTACTAAACTCTTACGTACTGTCCAGTAAACAGTTACAAGAACTTGCCAAATGAGTCATTACTACAGGAAAGTTCAAAAGTAGTTACAGCCGTACAATGTTAATATAAGACAGAAATGCCTGAATTTGTGGAAGAACACAGATCAGGAGCAACCATTTAAAACCCTTGTACGCCATTGGAATCATCTAAAATCAAAATGGCCTAAAGCCAATGGCAAAGCTTCCACAGTACTAATCTAGGAACTGTTAGATGATCTTAATGATAGGGTGTGTGGCTGCTTTTGCAGCAAGATATGTGTGAGTTTTGTTCATGTCAATCATCGCAGGAAGGGCCATGGAGATCAAGCTAGGGCCTGCCAAGGCCACGGAGGTCGCCTGTGTGGAGGAGCTAGCAGGAGAGGTGAAGAAAAGGGATGCCCTTTGTCTTTTCTCTGATGTGAAAATGAGTGTTAAAAGTCTGATAAAATACAATGACATTTTTATTACAGTTATTAGAACACTTCCTTAATAAAAGAGAATAAGACGGTGTTAGAATATCCAGGACATACAGCCAGCTATGCCAATGCCCAAACAAAGGCATTTTAATGTACTAAGGTCCTGACGGCAGTGGGAACCAAAGGGCAAAGCCTGTTGTCAGCTGTTGAAACCCACCTGATCCTGCCAAGGTCTTGCCGATCCCTGCCAATGGCTTATCAACTCAATTAGAGAGGCCTCGGTGCTGATGTCCTGATTCTTTTCTCAGCTGGTTAACTTTTCTCCCACTGCTTCTTCTCTGCTTCCAGCTGTCTCCGTAGTCACAAGGAGTGCTGAGCAGAAGCTTGCAGATGGAGGGTGTAAATCCAGTCCCACCACAGGAAAAAACTTTAAGCAGCTGAGCGGTGGGTGGGGGAGTGGAGCAGCTGCATATGCGAGGAGGCAGGGATGAAGGGAAGGGACTGAGGGTCTGGGCGTTTCCGATACTGGCTGTGGACCGTCTTAGGAAAAGCATGCACTATGTCTATTAAATGACTGCTTTCTGCCCACTCGGGCTCACGCTAACTTAGGCTGCACAGAAGCTCCAAGGAGCCCTGGAGACCCAATAGTACAGCTCGCTCAGCTCAGGTGTCTGCTGGATCTGGGCAGAGGTACTGAGGAGTTTCCTCACATGGTCTCATTTCATTCTTACTTTCTGCAGATGAGCACTGAGACTAGGAAATGTAAACTCATTTGAGATTAACAGTTGGTAAGTAGAAGTGAAATTCAAACAACCTATTGGCACAAAGACCATGCCACAAAGACCATCTCAAAATTGAAGGTGCCTGACCAACTACGGCAGCATCACCTGAGAACTTGATGTTTTTACATTTTTGCCATGGGGCATATGTGCTCTTCAGAAAGACACAGAGGGAAAATGAGAGCATCTCCCCCGCCAGGGGGATGGACGTGCTATAATCCCTTCTCCTCCATTCTCCTCTTGGGATTTTGTGTAGTGTGATTTTCAAACTGCCAGTTCTGGGACTTGAACTGTGGTTGGCCAGGTGGGGGTCCAGCATCTTAACCACCATGCCATCTGCTGGCCCCACCTGGGAACTTCTTCAAACTGCAAATTCTAGAGTTTCCCACAATCTGCTGAGTAAGAAACACTGGGATGGGGCCTGGCACTCTGTAGTCTAAAGAGCTCTCCAGGGGACTGTGACACGCGCTGAAATTTAGGAACCATTCAACATACTCTACTTTCCTAGAAACCTAGAGAGGTTTAATAAGTTGTCTAAAATCAACCAGTTCTTTAAGGGCAGAAATAGAACCAGAACTGAAAACCAAGCCTCTTGCCTTCTCGTTGGTGTAATGATGCCACAGAGGCAATCAGGAGAAATGGTTTGCCGCCTCCTCCTCACTGCTTTATTTATTCTCTGAAACAGCATTCATTTCCTCTCTAGTTAATCCCTTGCCAGCCTCCCTCTGCCTATTCCCACCTTCCCACCTCCACTCTCCAAGGCTCTAGAACAGTGTCTTATCAGAGATCTGAACAGACAGTCCTTCCCAGCCACCCTGTGTCAGATTAATTTATAACGGAGCTAACATTTGTTTTTGTTGCACCCTGCCCCCTGTCTTTAGACAGTCTCTCTTCCATCCAGTGTTTTTCTTCCATATGTCTCTGACTAGGGTAACTAACTTTCTCAGATTGTCCAGGACTATCTAGATTTTAGAAGTAAAAATCTTGCAACCTGGAAAACCCTTTAGACTCAGGCAGAAGGGATCAGTTTGGTCACCTTCCTCTCACTCAGTCCTATCAGTACTGTCTCCTGGGTCTAGCCCTGGCCTCAGCTGCTGTTAACCAAAGTCGGTCTAGTGTCATCCAGTCTATTGCTATTTATCGAGCCCCAACATGTTAAAAATTGTCCCAGGCCAGAACAACAGACATGGTCCTAGCTAACAGTACACTGAGAAAAATAACAAGTTATTAAAATAAAGTGTGATGGGCACTTTATTGAGGGAGGGAAATGCTATGGGAACACATTATAGAGATAGTCTGTGGGGTATGAAAGAAGGCTTTCTGGAAAAAAGTGTCATTTAGAAGTTATGTAAGAACTAATGTTGCTAGATAACAGTTTCAAATATCTTTTCAAGTACATTTTGAGAGAAAAACAGCTCTTGCAGATAGAGCTTAAAGGTCTTAAAAAAATAATAATAAAGAAAAGCAAAGGTGGGTCCAGGTAGACGCTGCTACTTGGCATGCAGAGGCCACCTGTGTGTGAGGCCTAGTTTCACTCCCAACCCACCCTAAAAGGCCAAGTATGGTGGCACACACCTGTAGTCCCACCTACTCCAGAGGATGAGGCAGGAGAATCAGAAGCTAACAGCCAATATCGGCAGAGAGAGCCTATCTAACTTAAGAATTAAACAACAACAACAACAACAACAAAAGGGATAAAATGTAATGGTGGCATAAAAAGCAATATATTGGATATTGATTGAGACAGGCCCCTTTCCTCCAAATACTAAAAGAATTTGCAAAACACAAACACATTTGCACACACACAGCTGACATGCACCGACATGGAGAGGGATGAGGGAGGAGAACTCAACCCACAATTCCTTCCTTCCTCCAGTTAATCCATGCACTCTAGTGCTGGACATATAAGGCTTCCTCTCTCTGTTCGTATGTGCCAAGAGGCTTAACTAGAGCCAAACTCTTTCTGTAATGTTGGTGGTTGTGACTTGAAGCAGGCTGCCACCGAATATTCTATCTCTCTAACACACACACACACACACACACACACACACACACATGCTCACACAGAGTATGCCTTTCCCCCCTGCTCCTGAAGATGTGAGTAAATTAAGATTGGACAAGTCATCCCAGGAGGGGCTGACCCCTTCCCAGGCCATCACTTGGTGCCTGCCACTCCAAACCAGTGGATAACTGCAGGCTATTTTGTGATAGCAACTGGGCAAACAAACCTGGAGACTAGTGCAGTGTTTTCCAAAGCTCAATCCACATGCCTCCAGCAGCAGGAGCCCTCAGGTCAAAAAAAAGTTGCCAACAGAGGGAAGAAACAGGGCTCTGGGGACAAGAGAGAGCCCTAGGACTTTGGAAATGAGAAAGAAAGGACTGAAAGGATATTATGAGGGTAAAGTCCACTCGATCAGCAATTTCCAGACTTTTTTTTTTTAAAAAAATAGGAAAAAATAGCAAAAAAAAAAAAAAGAAAGAATAAAAGAAAAAAAGAAAGAAAGAATCACTTGGTTTTCTTTGCACACAGAGTTGTAACAGGAAAGACAAAGAATGAAAGTGTGTTTGCCTTAAAGCCTTTCATAATTGATACTTGCTAAATAATTTAAGTTCATTAAGCTGGCAATGACTTGCTTCAAGGTTTTCTACTGTTCTCTTTCTGCTCCACATTATTGGTTAAAATCTAGTGAGGGCCAAGGGTGATTATCTTTCCTACCTGGACTCTGCAGCCTGTGTCACTTAACCCTGAGTTAGCTGGAGGTTTCAAGGTGATTTGCCAGATGCGGCGACCTGCACGTTTTCCTTTGTGGAGTTTTGACCTCCCATCTTGGGCAGCAGTCCTACCTGCAGGCATCCCTTCTCCAGAGGAGGGTAGGCACTGCAGCAGCTCTCAGGGGGTATGGAATCCCTGTGCCAGTTGTGTACTGGAGAAGGAGATAAAGGCTGGAGGAGCAAATGACAGCCCAGCTTCTGTCTACACTGAGACAAGCCAGGGCAGAGGGCAATGAGTTCTTATCACATCTGCTACTGATGGCAAATTTGGGGAAAAATTTTTAACATTATAAAAGGAGACTTAGGGGCAACAGGTGGCATGATGGTTAAGGTGGCTGTACTCCCACATGGCTGACCATGGTTCGAGTCCCAGACCTGGCAACTTGCCTTCTCACTTTCCCTCTCTCTCTGTCTCTCTCTGGTCAACTTCAACAAAGTAAATAAATTAATAAAATAATAAAGGGACCAGCAGGTGGCATGGTGGTTAAGGCGCTGGACACTCCCACAAGGGCAACCACGGTTCGAGTCCTGGACCTGGTGGCTTGCCTTCTCACTTTCCCTCTCTCTCTTTCTCTCTCTCTGTGTCTCTCTCTCTGATCAAATTAAAATAAATGAGTGAGTAAATAAAATCAAATAAATAATCCTAAAAAATTATTAAAAAAAAAAAAAAAAAAACGGAGGACTTAGGCCAGCATGTGGCATGGTGGTTAAGGTGCCAGATTCCCACGTGGCTGACTACTCTTTGAGTCCGGGACATGGTGGTTTGAAAATCATGCCAGGTGTGTATGCGTGCATGTCTAAAATTCCTAGAGGAGAATGAAAAGAAGGGATTACAATGTGGCCATCCCCCCCACTAGTGGGGTAGGGATTTCTCACTTACCCTTTCTCTGTCTCCCTCTATCTCTCCAGCAAGTGCATGCACTCTATGGCAGATACTTAAAAAAAGAAAAAAATCGGAGGACTCATGGGCCAGCCCCTGGCATGGTGGTTAGGGCAGCTTACCACCTTGTCAACTGCACTGCTTGAATCCTAGGCTATGCATGCATGGTGTGTGTGTATGCATGCTCAAAATCCCAAAAGGAGGGAGAAATTAAGGAGAATGGATTGAAGCACGACCATTCTCCATGGAAGATGTTTTCTCACTTTCTGTCTCTCTCTCTCTTTCCAATGAGCACACGAAATCTTGCCAAATTTAAAAACAAATTTTTTTTTTCTTGGTATAAAAAGAAGGACAGGTGATTCGGAAGGGAGGGTTGAATTTGTGAAACTAAGTATTAGGTTGTTGGGAAAGTCATGACATGTTTTCCTATACAAAAATTCATCACAGCTTTCCTAATGACCCAATAGATGAAAATCCAAGTTCAGAATCAGTGGATACAAAATTGAAAAGTTTATCAAGGGTTTTTCAAAGCTGAAGTTCTGACTTGTTTGAATTGGTAGATTGGTACTATGTTTTTATTCAATAAATTAATTGAATTCTGGATATTCTGCAGAAAACAAAATAAAATGTTAGTAGGAAATGTTATTGATGGTTATGTGACAAAATGTTAATTGTGGTCACCTGAACTAAGAAGATCAGAAGGCTGGGATTGTTCTTTTCTTTTGTTATAGGCTTTTGTATCACTTGCCACGTGTGACTTTTGTAAATTTTAAAATATGCTTAAAAATGAAAAACTTAATGACAATACCATTCTCTGCAGGTTGCAGAAGAAGACAAAGAGGAGAGTGAGGAAGAGCTGATCTTTACTGAGAGTAACAGTGAGGTCTCCGAGGAGGTATATACAGAAGAGGAAGAGGAACAGGAGGAGTCCCAGGAGGAAGAGGAAGAAGAGGAGGAAGAAGACAGTGAGGAAGAGGAAAGAACAGCTGAAAGTGCTAAGGGGATTAATGGAGCTGTCAGTTATGAGAGTGTCAGTTCTGACAGCTCTAAGCCAAAGACATTTAAAAGTCAAATAGAAAACATAAACTTGACCAACGGCAACAGCAGAAGGAACACAGAGTCCCCGGCTGCCATTCACCCTTGTGGAAATCCTACCGTTATTGAGGATGTTTTGGAAAAGATTAAGAACAACGACCCTGACACCACGGAAGTCAATCTGAACAACATCGAGAACATCACAACGCCGACCCTCACCCGTTTCGCCGAAGCCCTGAAGGACAACACGGTGGTGAAGACCTTCAGTCTGGCCAACACCCGCGCTGATGACCCCGCGGCGATGGCCATCGCGGACATGCTCAAGGTCAACAGGCACATCACGAATGTAAACATCGAGTCCAACTTCGTCACGGGGAAGGGGATCCTGGCCATCATGAGGGCGCTGCAGCACAACACCGTGCTCACCGAGCTGCGCTTCCACAACCAGAGGCACATCATGGGCAGCCAGGTGGAGATGGAGATCGTCAAGCTCCTGAAAGAGAACACGACGCAGCTGAGGCTGGGCTACCATTTTGAGCTCCCAGGACCTCGGATGAGCATGACCAGCATTTTGACAAGAAATATGGATAAGCAGAGGCAAAAGCGGATACAGGAGCAAAAACAGCAAGAGGGATATGAGGGAGGAGGCTCCAATCTGAGGACCAAAGTCTGGCAACGAGGAACGCCTGGCTCTTCGCCCTATGCATCTCCCAGGCACTCTCCTTGGTCATCACCAAAACTCCCCAAGAAAGTCCAAACTGTGAGGAGCCGTCCTGAGTCTCCTGCGGCCACACCCCCACCTCCTCCTCCTCCACCTCCTCCTCCCCAAATGCTGCCACCACCACCTCCCCCACCGCCTCCTCCTCCTCCTCCACTCCCGGAGAAGAAGCTCATCACCAGAAACATTGCAGAAGTCATCAAACAACAGGAAAGCGCCCAACGGGCATTACAAAACGGACAGAAAAAGAAAAAAGGCAAAAAGGTTAAGAAACAGCCAAACAATATCCTGAAGGAAATTAAAAGTTCTCTGAGGTCTGTGCAAGAGAAGAAAATAGAAGACAATTCCCGACCTTCTACCCCACAGAGATCAGCTCATGAAAATCTCATGGAAGCAATTCGGGGAAGCAGCATGAGACAGCTAAGGCGGGTAAGTCACCCAAGCACAGGCATCCCCACAGAGTTAGTGAATGAGCCGGCCTCCACTGCACCATGGTACCCTGGTCCCTTTGCAAGATGCCTATTCATATTTGTAAATGTTTTAGCATGTGAGAGCAAGCCTTTCGGGTTTGAAGCATTGGGAGCAGGCTTTTGTGTGAGCACATTTCCATCTGGGAGGTTTGCCTGAGCCCCTTTCTTTGAAATATCAATCTTGTGAGGGCCACCATCATTTGAAGACACTCCAACATGTAAAAATCCTGATTTCCTTAATAAGAAAATCAGGGAGGCTAATCTACATTCATCACTAATAAAAGATTTGATTGCAATGTTGCAAATGACTTAAAACATAATTTATACTATAAAATGTGAATGCCATGCAGTAATAATTAATCCCTAGTTGAATTCTTCTCAGAGAAACTGCTACGGTCGCACCCCACAGACATTTTTCTTTGTATCTTTTACATTGTTTCACTGAAAGAAATCCCCTATTTTTGTAGGTGGAAGTTCCTGAAGCTCTGCGATAAACACACCATATTTACAAGAGGATGCAGAACTGTTCAGTAGTATTAAATAAAGCGCATTGAGGTGTTTCTAAAATACCTTCTTTCCATTTGAAATGTTCCCTGACTTTAAAAATAGCCTTACCCACTAATTCTGCAGAGAATTTTAAGAAACGATCAGCATGATTCTTCTGTAAATATGAAAATGAACTTTTTTATGTGAGATTTGTATTGGCAAGAAACGTTTAAAGAAGCTCTTCATAGTTCTGGATTTGTTGGTTACTCTGAGGTAAAATGAGTTAATAAAACGTGCTGTTATTTTTGTAATCCCAATAAATTTGGATCGAAGTATTTTTTTCTTTTTTTTAAAAGCCAGACTAGTATTTTTTTTCCTGTGTGTATATATATATTTATTAGATGTGTTTGTAACATTGCTGAATATTAAACAATCACATTCTCACCAAAAAGGGTTTGGGGCCTTAGCATTTTCCTTTCTTTGTTTCCTCATATACAAGAAAATCTGAACAGATCTTTCTTACAAACTGGAATCAAGAACTTTCTTAGAAGATTATTTTGGTAATGAGACGAAAGTTGGGAAAAGATCCCAATGTGGCCATTATCATCTTGGATTCATTGAAGTTAGACCTTGACTGACAGCTGACACTCCTGTATTTTGCTCAGTCTGATGGGTACTCAGGAATCAATTTAATCATTCATTATGATAATTATTTCTAGAAAGAAAAAAAAAAAAGGAAACTTAGGAAGTCTCTTTTTTTTTTTTTTCTTTTTTTTGAGATCTTGTTATAGGGTGTGTGCACTCGCCAGAGAAACAGAGAGACAGAAAGCAAGAAATCACCCTCCAGGGAAGATGGCCATGCCACAGTCCCTTCTCCTCCATTCTCTTCTCAGGATCTTGGGCACACATGCACATGTGCCCAACATGAGTTTCAAGCCACTGGGTCCGGGACCTGAACTTTGGTTGGCCATGTGGGAGTCTAGTGACATAACCATTATGCCATCTGCTGGTCCCAGGAAGTTTGATAGGGTGGAAATAAGTGCTTGGAGGATACCTGAAAAATAAACACACAAATTTAGAACTTCTTTATGTGATCTTAAAGTTGCACCATTCAAGTCTCCAACTGAATTCTTTGGATAAGTCTTAGTCCAGTGGTTATCAGCTTTATTTATTTATTTATTTATTTATTTTTTGCCTTCACAAACCATGGTGATGTCAACATTCACAAAAAACGCTTAGAGACATGCGCACATGTATTCACAAACCCCAGCTATCATTTTACCCGTGACTCAAGAAGGGTCTGAATCCAAATAAGAGGACATGTTGGAGATTGCCTTCACTCCACTCTAATTTATGAAAGCTATAAATCCCTTCTAAAGTCCTTTGTATTAAGTGTGATTAGCAATGTATCCTTTGTGTCCTACAGTTCATAAGAGTGGTCTTGGCAAGCTCTCTGGATGACCCATTCAATAACTGTTTGTTTCGTGTACAGACCTTTGGATTATCTCCAATCAAGGATTGAGTTTCACTAGAAAAATCTCTTCAATAGTTCTTGAGCCTATTTCTTTTAGCCTGTTCCTATTGTTTCGCCATTTTCTTACTTGAGAAGAACAGCAGATGTAATCACTTTTAAAGAAAGTTCCAGAAGCCTGTAAACTAAGTCAGTGCCCTGACTCCATGTGGGGTGGAGGTGAGGGGTTTGTGGGTGACTATTTCTGAACCAAGTCATCTCATGTACTTCTCACAACAGTGAAAGGTGCTATCCCCATTTTACAGAAGAGAAACCAAGGTGTAGAGAAGTTCAAGTTGCAGGGGAAATTGGGCATCTCATGCCATAAAGCCCATGCTCCTTTTCTGAACCTCTCTGCTTCTGTCCAGACTAAAACCTTCCAAAGGCTCCTCATTATTAGAATAGTGAAAATTTCCATTTTCTTTGGTACTGACTTCACTATTTTTGCCTCTTTCCACTAGTGTTCACAAGTGTGTTAATTATACTTATTGTACAAAGAAATAAAAGCCCAAATGTAGGTTTTTAAAAGGCATGTGCGTGCATATACATGTGTGAACTTAGAACAGAGAACCAAGACACCACTTCCTTTTTCCTGATCCTTGTATGTAAGCAAGGACGGGGCTCTCCTAAATAAAAGGAAAGGCATGAGTACTAAACAGCTTCTAACCCCCATTATGATAAGGTAGAGGAGCAAATGTTTGCTGATAAACTATGTCATTGATAAAGCTACACAGCACTCCTAGAAGGGGGCTAGCGTAGCCCTCCTAAACAGGAGTAGAAGGCGTGCCCTTGCGTGTCAGGAGCTGTGTGGGCTGGGAAGAGAATTATTTAGAAGTTGAATTTTCTCCTTTGCATTTTAAAAAGCTGTCTTTTTGACTTGCAGAAAGTTTCTAGGAGAGCATAGCATGCACCTAGAAGGCACTTCACAAAATTTAAATAAAAGTATGGACCTTCATATTCAATTTATAAAACAAAATATTATAAAGCCCATAATAGAACAAGCACGAGTAAGTCAGATATTGTGTACATTTATCATTAAGGAAAAACATTTCTAGAACATGTTATTTCAGAATCCAGTACAGTAAACATACATGGTGTTGTCCATCATTCTTCAGCACAGGACAGGGATCCTAGTTCATCCTCCCTGCAAACTCATAAAGCTGGAATGAAAACTAATTAGTTCATCCTTTATAAAGAGCCTTTCAACTCACTGGGAGAGAGGCTGTCCAAGACCAGGAGTGTTTAGGGGATGATTTATATGTGCATGCTAATCTCTGAAAGTACACCTCATCCTGATTCGAAAGGGAGCCAGAATGCTGAGTCTCTCTGCTGCCACAGGTATTTAATAACTCAGTGTCAGCAGGATCTTGATTTCACACCTGCCGTGAGATAGTTACTACCAGTGAGTGAAAGGAAAAGGTTAGTAACAGGCTGCAGTATCTATACTGAGATGCACTAAGATGGGGTAAATCAATAACATCTTGATAAGGCCCCATAACCAGTTCCTTCATGATAAAGTTAAAAGCTTTTTCTTTATTTCTCTGGGACTCTTAAAGTGGACTTCTATTTCCATTAATTACCAAATAACAAGATGCGAAACACTAAGAGCTGACTTAAGACCGACAAAACTCAGAACTTGTTACCAATAGTGATGCAAATATCATTCTGAGAATCCACCATGATCCAAATATTCTGGAGATATGTAGTGAGTAAAGAAGATAAAACCCTGTTTTCATGTAACTTACATTCTAGTGTGTGTGTGTGTGGGGGGGGGACTACTCTTTAAGCATCCATGCATTTATTTATCGAGCGGCTCCTATGTACAAGAAACTGTGCTCTAAGCTCAGGGAGACCAAACCACATTAGAAAGTGTCCTCCTCCTCAATGCACTGGGAATACTAAGAAAACTAATTTCAGCAAAATAAACTTTTAAAATTGTATTATTAATTTATTTATTTTTAATTTGATCAGAGAGAGACTGAATGAGAAAACAAGCTGTCAGGTCTAGGACTCAAACCGTGGTCGGTCAGGTGGGAGCTCAGCGCCTCAACTGCCGTGCCATCTACAGCCCAGTAAAATCTCTTTTTAATTCAGAATCTCAACCTAAAAAGGAAGACCGAGGCAAAGTAACTTAAACAAAAGAATTTATTTGGACCAAGGTTAAGACAATTGACTGCATAGGCACCACAAAATCCTGAATAATGTGTGCTGAGTTCTTACAGATTTCAGGGGCAAGAGTCAAGGATGAGAGCGTGGAGTAGGAAAGACCCTGTACAGGAGAGGTTGGCTAAATGCAATCAGCAGGATGGTCGCATGGTTACTTGTAGTAATTATGTTTAATCTTTAGCCAACTGTGGAGACAGCATGTCTGGAAGGTGTGGAGGAATGAATGTGGGCAATAAGGATGTTACTCGGCAACCAGTCCAATGAGTCCAGGTAACATCTTGCACTACTACAGGTACACATTCCTAAGAATGCCAGAAGAAGTTTTATTTCCTTATAGCACTGACTCAGGTAGACTGGCATCTCCTGTTTTCAGGGAAAACGAGTCTATTTTGGGATCTCTTAGCTTCCTTAAAGTTTCAGTTTGATGATAAGACATTATACATGAATAACTCTATTTCAGTCTAGATTGCTGAGGCCTAGCACAGGAGCTTTGTCTAAAACAATGACTTTCTATAATTTTTATTTAATAATAGACTATACAAACATAGATGTTGGGGTGGATTTGGCCTGTGAACATTTTGCCAAGGATCCTTAACCTCAGATACAGGGTCAAAGGAAACTTTACAGAAGGTGACAATTTAGATGTTTAAAAAAAGTTTATTTTGTGAACCAGCAGTTAGCATAATGGCTATGTCACTGGACTCCCACATAGTCGACCGCAGTTCGCGTCCTGGACCCGGTGACTTAGAACTCACGCCGGGCATGTGTGCGTGCGTGCCCTAGATCCCAAGAGGAGAATGGAGGAGAAGGGACTGCGGCGTGACCATCCCCCCTGGGGGGTGATTTCTCACTTTCTGTCTCTATGTCTCTCTCTGTCTGTCTGGCGATCTTACACGCCCTATAGCGAAAACCTCTCCAAAAAAAAAAGTTTATTTTGGGGCCAGCATATGGCAAAATGTTTATATTGCTGGACTCCCATGTAGTCAACTGTGGTTTAAGTCTTGGATCTGGCAGCTTAAAACTCACACCAGGTGCCAGTGCATGCATACACAAAATCCCAAGAGGAGAACAGAGGAGAAGGGATTGTGGCATGGCCATTCCTCACTGGGGGTGATTTCTCACCTTCTGTCTTTCTGTCTCTCTGACAAGTGCACACATCCTATAACAAAAATCTTTCTAAAAAAAAGAGAGAAAAAAAGTTTATGTAGTCCTTCCATGAGTGAGAAAGACAAAGAGAGGGAAAAACAGAGCGAGAGAAAGAGAGAGAGACAGCACTCCCAACGGGGTCTTGAGATCACAATCCACCCTCAGCTCAGTTAGCCTTGGATCATGGGTATGCACATAACCAGAGTATTCAGGGAGGTCTCCAGACTTGAACCAGGAACCTTCCCATGTGAGATTACCTCACAGAGTGTCAAGTTTTACTGTGCTATTGTCTGATCTTTAATCCAAATTTTTGAACAATAAAAAAAGTCACTAGGCTGAAAGAAAAAGAAAGACAAAAGTGTCCAATAATGAGGAGTGGGAAATGGGGAAAGATATTGAGGAAACAGGTTGGTACAGATTAAGTAAAAAAAAAAAAATCATAAGATTTAATGTAATTCTATAAAAACAGTAATTTGATAAAAATTAATATTTTAGTCATTTTTTCTATTATTAATAAATTCATAGATTAAGAATATG